TAGTCCCAGTTTAAGAACGAGTTCTGTTCCCAAGGTCTGTCCTTAAGTCGAATGTGTATGTAAGTAGGAACAGTATTATTGTATAACACTGAATAAGTACTATTGTGTTATTAATTTGAACCATTGTATATTTAACTCAAATCATTGTGTATTTAACTCAAATTTTGCTACAATGGGCTCTGTTCTTAACTATGGATCGTCCTTAAACTGGGCGTTCTTAACCCAGAGGCTGCCTGTATTTAGCTAAGGAAATCAAAAAGCCCTCATGCTTATTTCCCTCTTCTGCCCAATCAATTATAAATTAAAATATAAATCCAGATGTTGTCATGTGGTTTTCTACTTGCATCTAAGGTAATTTCACCATCCTGGGGCCCCCTGATATTTTGGTGCTGTATCTTTCAGAATATTGAATAGGCATAGGCAATTGGCATGGCAAACAGGAATCTGGGAATTCAGTTGTAACACATCTGGAGAGTACCAATAGAAGAAAATGCATGTAGCTCAGGGTTGAACTGTGGAGTCCTTGGGGTTTTCTGAGCTTGGTTGTTTTCTTGCAGGTGTTTCGTTACCTGGCTGGGGTACTGAAGATGTTAGCTAGCCGGGTAACATAACATCTGCAAAAAAACAACCAAGCTCAGAGAACCCTAAAGACTCCACAACTGGAGAGTGACAGGTTGGGGAAAGCTAATCAAATAAATAAGGGAAAAGGGACTGCATCTGTTTTCAGGGATAAAGTTTGAAAAAAGATTTTGAAAAAACCATGGGGGTGAAAGGACACCCTTAACCGCTCAAAGAGTCACTAGAAGACAATAATGAAGAGATGGATGAATAGTCTGCCCTGATATAAAACATATTTTATCTTTAGACTATAAAAAATATAGCCACAATAATAAGATCTAACTGATATTAACATGTTTGAGGTTGTCTGCCCAGTGTGTATTCCCCAGCTTCGTTCCTTCCCAAAATATGCTGGGGATGAAGTTCCCAGAATTCATATCTGGAGCATGCTAGTTTGGGGAATGCTGTTGTGCTGGAACTGGTTGGCTGGAAGTGGGATGAAAGAGGTGATGAGAATGATCAGTGGGAAAAAGGGTTTCATTTAGAGAACTTTCATCCTCAAGCCATCTCTCAAGAAATCAGGCTATGTAAGTATATTATCCTTCTGCTTTAACAAAATCTGATTTCTCCATCTGATTTTTGCCTGGACTGTGCAATTGTTATGGGAATCATTACAGCGATTTGTCTAGAATTCCTCTCAGTGATTTGGTGCTAACAATCCTATGTTGTCAAAGTCAATCCCCTAGCTCAAAGATTTTTAAAAAGACTTTTCTCATGAAAATAATACTCAATTTTTAATTGCTATTTTTAAAGTTTTCTAGCCATTTATATATCCCAGGTGTGCTGCCTAGAATGTAACAGCAGGCGTGTGAATGAAGGGTCTGTGAATAAAAGGTGGGGAAAATGAGATCCTTGATACATGGAATGTGAATGTTCTGCTTTTGCCCACAGGAATAATTGAATGTTCATTTTACATTGAACCTGCTAAAGCAGCACATTCAGATCTCTTAATCTAGAATGCTTATTATGTTGGCTTGATCATGCAGTTTGTTTCCAACAAATACGGCAGCCCCAGGCTGAAGAAATGTGAACATAGGTTTACCCACAGAATCAATCCATATGTTGCAGTAAGCCATGGTTGATTTAACCAAGACTTACTGAATGCATAGCTGGCTGGGTTTACACAAAATGGCTCTGTTCATTGTAATAACCAGGGCAGAGATTCCTTAAGACTAGCCAGATCTTGTATGCTTATATCAGTTATGCAAAGCAATAGAACAAATTGCTCACAGGATTTGAGAAATGATACCTGGCCAGAGAGGCTCCTGAACAAACTGTTTTCTTTATTGTCCTGATAAATTTAGGGGCACTCTCCTCAGCCATAAGAGGTTACACAATAAAACTAACCCAAGAGTCCATCAAAACAACTACACAAATGTATAAAGTTTTGTCACTTTATTTAACTCACAACTGTCAACAAAATATACATTGCAATATTAAACATTTCAGAAGTACAGTATTGTAAGATACACAACAGGTACTGGGGATGTGAAACTAGATTTTCCCCCAAGCATTATTTTCTCTCTCTTCTTCATAGCGTACTACTGTAAGACAGAGCAGGAATTATGCACCAAGAATGGCTTAATATTCTCTAATAGTCATGACTACTAGTATTGTTCATTTAACACTGAAATCCTAAGCAAGTTTATTTGGAGGAAGTTCTACTGAAGATCTGTCAGACCTACTTCCAAATAAGCATGAACAGGATCAGACAGCATGTTTACAATTGCTGCTAGTTATAATTGCTACAGCTTGAAATCCAAATTATGTGTATATAATTGGGAGCAAACATTCAAGTAAAAATTGCATTGCCCTTCTTACTCTCTTTTTGCAACTCAGCAAAATAAAAACACTTGTGATGGATTTCGGCCTTGATCTTAGTTGTGCCCATACATGCAAAAAATATGGAGAGTTCTCTCAGATAAGTATTGGCCTATCTTATGCTGCCATTTAGAGGATGACCTCATTGTCCTCAACACTATCGTGATGTTCAGCACTGTGGTGATCCTCAGCGCTGTGGTGATCCTCAGCACTGTGGTGATCCTCAGCGCTGTGGTGATCCTCAACACTATGGTGACTCTCAGTGCTTTCCAAAGTTTGGTTGCTGACATCATCAACATCAGGCTCTAACTGTTGGAGTTCCTCACTGCGGTCCTTTTTCTCTTCTCTGCTTTCAGTGCTTTCTAGGGAAATGGTAACTTTGCTGTTGTCATGGCTGTCCTCTACACTCTCAGGTTTCTCTTGGCTGTTATCCTCCAGACTTCTCTCATGAGATGCACTGTGGACTTCATTGCTGTCCCTCAGGTTACTTTTGTCAACTCTTTCTACACTGGTGTCATGGCTTTCCAAAGAACGTGCCTTAGAATATTCATGGCTGTCTTCATCTGGTGTGCTGTCAACTTCATCTGAAAAATCTTGAGAATCAAACTGAAAAAGTCCACAAGATAAACAATCAAAGGCCATCCCAGTCTCATGAGAAATATCTACAATACTGACATACTAGGTTAACAATGATTTTCCTTTCTTTGGGGAATGGTATACAGGGCTTGGGGGTGATATATCTTATAATCTCTAACAGAATTATTAGTTCAGTAGGAGTTGTTGCTGGTACCCCATTTTTCTACAAAGAATATCCATAGTTCATTACAAATAAAAAGCAAATTAGATTATAAAGTACAAATAAGACTTAAATAATATACTCTCTCAGGTATATATTAATTTCAACATGAAATTTTTTGTTTCTTTTGTGACTATTCTTTTGTGTTTTTCATGAGTTCGAGCTAAGTTCGAGGTAATGGTTAATAAATTGGTTACTCATATCCTTTTAACTTAATCAAAAAATGCACCAGTGACAATTCCCATGTTTCTCTAAAGGAATTCCATTAGTGTAAAACAAAATAGCATAACATTTTCCTCATATCACTTTATCTAACTAAGAAGTCAGAAAAGATAGCAACTTACTGCAAGTGTTATTAAAATAAATGTCTAAATATTTGGAATGTAGATATTTAAAAATGAAAACAAAGTGTGTTTATGTCAACTAATGATTAAAGCAAGGGAACCCTGTGTGTTTTGCCTGTCCCACTGCACACTTTGCAATTTCTACTTTGTAGGACTTTTATAGTATTAGTCCATCAGGATTTTTTAAGTCAAGGAATTTCCTCAAAACCTACTTCCTCCCTGCCAGTTCTCAAGCACTCATTATAGGTGGTGTCTTCACAGTAGCCACACTCAGTCCAAATATGTAACATTTGAATATCCAGCTCTCCAAACTGCTGTGACAAGTGGAGTTTTAATGGTGGCCTTGCCAATCACCACCAATTGCTGTGGGAAGATGAATCGAAGGAGGAGGAGTAGGCTGAAATTTTAAAGTCAAACAAAAACCTCAGACATTATTTTCCATGACTGCCCAGAGCAACTAAACACTGCCCAGAGCAACTAAACATTGCAGACCAAAATCCTCCAGGCAAAATATGGTCTCTGTGAGTTACAGCATAGTAGATGGACTGTATGATTCTAAATAGGTCAGTTTTCACAGGGGCTGCTTTTGGGGCATTCCAAGTCTCCCCTATATGTGTATGCAACAAAAGAAGAAAGCAATCAATTGGCATTTACCTTTCCAGATTTTTTGTGTGCCTTGCCAGACTTCCCCAAACTCATCCGGTCAAGTTTTGCCCTTATTCCATAAGGTGCAACATCTCCTCTGCCTGTGAAGGGATCAGGAGAGACAGGTAGGGTAAAAGGAGCATCGGTGGGAAAGTCAGTGAAGGTTTCGTGAGACTCATCTGATTCATCTGAATCTACATGATCATCGTCATTGGAAGCATCACTATGGTCATCATCATCTTCATGACTTTTGCTTGAAGATGCCAAAAGGGTCTGCAAGAAAACAGATGCAACTTGGTAGTACAACATGCACAAGGACACTTTTTTTAGGTTTGGACATATCTCGTGAAGAGACTACACAAACCCAGAAACTGAAATTGGGTAGCAGCCAGTTTTCAGTGCCAAACATCATGAGGACGACATTGGAAACAGAAGATAGTACCTCAGAGCAAATACAGAGTGTTTTTTTGTTCACTACTGGGCAGTGACAACAATCTGATGACTGTTCTCTCAGGGCTTAAATAAAAATAATTTGCAGGCTTTATAAATGATCTCTGTTTGGATTACTTAAAACCATCCAGAAGCTTCAACTGATATGAAATTCAGTGTTTAGGCTCCTTGCTGGTATGCAAAACTGTTCCAAGGGATGTTTGGATCTTACTGCTTGAGAGATGCTTCAAGGCTTGACTTAGCTCTTTAAGAACTCACTACATTCTTTAAGTATGCAAATTCATGCTCAGACACTTGAAAGGGAAATGCCGAGCCTTCAAGAGGATGGAAGTGGCACAGTGTAGAGCAATGTTTCTCAACCTTGGCAGCTTTTGGATGGGTGGACTTCAACTCCCAGAATTCCTCAGCCAGCCTGGCTGGCTGGGGAATTCTGGGAGTTGAAGTTCACCCATCTGAAAGCTGCCAAGGTTGAGAAACACTGGTGTAGAGTAATGCCCTCAGAATGGTTTTGTACAGCCCTAACACAAACCTTATGACACAACATTGAAATAATTGCCTTGGCTAACAGTTGTTTTTGTATTGTGCACTGGTTTTGGTTTCAAAATTAAAACCTTTCATAGCTTAGGATATATAAAAGAAAATGCCTTCCCATGAACCCATTTGCCTGTTATTAAAATCTGTAAATGACACTCATCTAAGGACATTACTGCTCATATAGTTATATAGTGCTCATATAGTTATATACTGCTCATATAGTTATATAGTTGTGTGTTACTTTTGACAATGCAAATGAAATCTATTGAACTTTTTTTCTGCACAACTATCAAAGTTGCATGAGTCTTGCCCCCTTTTCCATGGGATAGAGAGGTAACTACAGGTACGGTCAAGATAGGTGCCACAACAGTATGACCATAGCTCTGCCTGTTTCTGCACATAAAAACCAGTTGCGGTTATCATTTTGACTCTTTTGACCAAACCCTGCAGACACCACTGATGGGAGATCAGCAGGAAGTATAACAGCAACTAATGGGGAATATGGCAGATGTGAGATAAACTTGCACCCAATATCTTCTTTTGGTGGCTTCAGGTGTGTACAAACACACAGAGACATGTTGAGTTAAACTGACCTGCTGCTCAGTGATCTCATCACGATCTTCCAAAGACTGAGAGTTCTGAAAGTAAAATAAAAGTGCTATAAAAACTAACCGTGGATTTGGAACAGTTAACATAAAAGGAAACCTGCACAATTAAGCTTGGTGTGCAATTGCTGGAGAAAAGATCAGTTCATGAACAGGAGGTATATTAGCAACCATTAATCATGAAAATTAAGACTTCAGGCTTAGCAGCAATATATTTCTGAACATCAATTATTGGGGTGAAGAAACAGAGAAGGATACTCTAGTAAAGCTTGGCTAGTGGATTTCCCAGAAGCAGCTGGTTGGTTACTGTTGGAGATGCTGAATTAGCTGGATCCAGTTGGGGCTTTCCCATGTTTCTTTTTTATTCAAGGAATAATAGGAATTAGGGCGTGGATTGAATGGAATGGAAATGGTGCTGGTGGGAGGTATGAAGAATGATGGACAGGAAAACAAGATAGATAGAAAAACAGCTAAAAAAAAACTAGCACTCAATCTAGAGCAGCCAACTAATCAGCTTAATCTGGCCATGACTAAACCCATTGAGAGTATGACAACTGATAGCTAACTTGAATCCCATTTTCACTTGCTTCTCCCACCATGGCATTTCTTTGTATTATTATGCTTTTCCAGAATAACTTTTCTCAATCTAATGCTTTCCAGAGGTATTGGATTTCTAGCTGTATAATCCCCAGACAGCAGTCTCAAACCATGTCAGCTGATTATTACAGTTGAAGTCCAGCACATCCAGAAGCTACCAGGTTGAGGAAAGCTGCTAACAGTTCATCAAAGGAGGTGACTTTCATACCAGTTGAGAAGATGCATGTTCTTGTGATTCTTGGCTGTTTCTATGCTCATGACTGTGTTCGTGGCTGTGTGAATTGTGGTGGTGACTGTGGTGTGCATAAGCTTCATCTTCTCTGGAGTCCTACAACAATACAAAAATCAACATTAGAATTTAACATGCAGCTTCTCAGTGCTTGGTCACCACAAAAGGCAAGGGCCTAGGGCTTGGTAAAAGGATCCCTACAACAGAGAGGAAATGGGTAGGAGCATAAAAGCAATTCTCTGCTCACATGCACACTTACATGTTTTCTTTCTGCACTCCTAGAATCATCATGATGTCTTGATTTGCTGATCTTTAAAAAGAAGGAAAAAAAATAGACAGTATTGATTCCTTTTTGCTACACTGAGGGAGTCTTGATTGCCTTGTTAAATGCATATTATACTTACTGGTAAGGCAAAGGCAACAGTGAAAAGACATAAGATAAGCACAGCAATTTTCATGATGGCTGATCCCTGTGGAATGGTCACTTGGCAAGATTCCTGTTCCAAAAAAAAAAAAAAAGATTCATTTCCCCTGTGTTTTAGAAACTGTGTAAGTATACAGAAACAATTGCTCCAGACTGGAGCTCTCATGATGGATTGAACAGACTTCAGCCAATGAATTGCCCAGTCAGCAATGCTGATTAAGTCTTTCTAGATGGTACCTTCTCAAAGCAAAGAAAAGTGACCATCCATCTAAAATGTTGTAGGCTGTCACTGCCTTCTAGTTCTCTCTATACGTATCACTCTCTTTCATCTGTTCCAGAACACTCTGCCTGGCTATATGAGATTTAAAGAAGCAGAAACGAAAGGGATGAAAACTGATAGGTGAAAAACTCCCCCTTATAGGCCTATGGAACTTGGCCTGGTTTATAAAACACACCAACCCATTTTGATTTTGATTTAATGTGAAGTGGGAACTCCTTCATTATGGCATAACATTATGTACAAATTAGGCCACTGCGGCTGGTTCAACCAACCATGGTTTTAAACATTCGGGCAAAGCGTATATTATATTATAAGGCAGATTAGCTTGATGGAAATCGATGCATTTCCACAACATTCTGCAAATTCAATGGCACAGGTTTTTTGGTTAATGTTATTACTTTAGAATATAGGGAAAAAAAGAGACAAAAAGATAGGGAAAAAAAGAAATAAAAAAGTAGACACCACCAGCAAATGTAATAATACATACAGAAAACAGCTCAATTTCTAAACACAGTACAGGTAGTCCCCAATTTAAGAACGAATTCCATTCCCAAGGTGTGTCCTTAAGTCGAATTTGTATGTAAGCTGGAACAGTATTATTGTATAATACTGTGTAAGTGGTATTGTGTAATGAACTCGAACCATTCTCTATTTAACTCGAATCACTGTGTATTTAACTTGAATTTTGCCACAAGAGGCTCCATTCTTAACTATGGGTCATCTGTAACTCGGGCATTCTTAACCGGAGACTCCCTGTATTAATCTAGGCCACAGATTAATCTGTGGTTAGTCTTTCCATCAAATTGCTAAATAGTATCTTCATAAGCAGAGAGTGAACACATATCATCAGTCCAGGACTGTAAATCCAATATGACATTATATTTCCATGACAGAATAATCTTTTTTCCTACCCACCCTCTATATAATGGTAAATTCAACGTTTTCACATCTTTAAACCTCAATATTCTTCCCAGAACAAACATATTTGACATTATGCAAAACAGGGAGGAAGCAGAATAAGGCCAAATCGTACGCACAACTGTCTCCTCCATCATTTTATACTTCTAGTACGATTAAACATTCTCTGAAATATCCAATAAATGTGAAAGAAAATATCTTTTGCTTTAGGAACCTAATCTTAAGACGGTAAGAAACATACTCAATCTTTTTAAAAATGCTTAAGCCTTTATCTGTTAATGTGGATGTGGCAACTCTTGAGTTACTGCAAATAACCAATATTCAGTTTAACAATTCTCTTATGTGAGTATAAAAAGAGAGAATAATTTGAAACACATTTCGATGCTGATCATAATTCAGAGGCTGCTACTGCAGCTGGATGCAGTCTTTTGGGAAGAAAGAGGAAAAGTGAGAGTTATGAAAATAACCCAAAGGCAGATGTTTCAAAACATAATGGAAATTCTGAGAAAAAAAGCTACATGAAATTGGCACTGGTATTTCTTCTGTCTCTGGCTCCCTGTCAGAGGCATAGGAATAGGAATTTAATTCAGGCATAACTGTCATGGTCAGCATTAGCAGGTATTTTCTTCTAATGCACTTGAAAATTCAAGCTAAGATTTCTGAGTCAGATAGGATTACACTGCTGTGTGTAACCCTTTGGAAAAAGCTGACGAATCAGGACTCAGGGGATCTCGGAAACTGATGAATCATGATGGAAGACTGTATTAGGAGCCAGGCTGATGGGAAAGCTGGCATCCTCCCCTTATGCCTTGCCCTTCCTCTTACAAGGTTAATGAGCACTTCCACTAAAAGCAAAAATCAATGTGAAAACTGCACCAAATTACATCTGAGTAATGCTCCCGAGGAGCCAAGTGGACAACTGAGAGCCAGTGATTTTCTGGAGATTAAATGCAACAGCCATATCTCTTCTTTTAGCCAGAAACACATTGCTAAATATAGAGGTGCTGTATAAGAAATGAGGACCTAGCAAGAAGTTGAAATGTTCTTGGGTGGAGCTGTCAGGGTTTAACTTCAATCTGGATCCCCAGTGCTCTGATTCCGGGGTATTTGAGATAACCAAACACTCTTGAACACATACATACAGCACAATTTCTCCAGATTATTAGATTGTCTTGATGTGGTGGCCATTTTTGCCTTTAACAGCTGAGCAGGAAGCAAATATGCGACTGCTGAAGATTTCTGTGCAAGATGCTATTGCTTAAGAAATAGGACACCTGATAAATGCAGCGGTGGATAATCCTATTTACCAGAACATAGAACCTGGTAAACTTATTATGCCTTCTCCTCTCTTCCTACACACTTCAGTGCTTCCCCATGTTACCTCCACCACAGTCCTGCAAGGGAGATCAAACTGAGAAACCAAAGTCACCCAGAGCATGAAGAATTGGACTCTGCCCAATTCTAGGCCAACATCCCAACTATGATGCAATCTGGTGTAGTCATAACCCCTCCCTGCAGACCATAACTTCAGCCAAAAGCATGCAGCAATCTGAAATTTTCAGGGGTAAAGCTGAGAAAGAGATGCTTGTATGTTTTAAATGGCAGCTTCCATTTGGCAGCCCTCGCTCTTATAAACCACATCCTCCCTGCATCTTTAAATCTGCTCCCAGATGGCAGTCAAACAAGGCTGTGGTTGGAACTGAATCTCTCTCAGGCAAAATGCCCTAGTCTCTGGGTGGAAGAGGTCCCTGGCGCACTGCTATGGTGCTTTCCCCTTTATAAATTATAGCCCAGCTTGAAAGGAACAGATAGAAAGAAAAGGAGCAGGTACCTGGTCTGGTGCTTAGATCCTCAGGCAGCAATCTGCAGAGATGCACAGAGTCTCAAAGAAATGCTTGAATCACTTCGGCTAGTTCCACTTACTCACTCACCCTCCTCCTCTTCTTCTGCTTTCCATCTGCAGACCTCTGAATTTAAACTGTAGTCCAGATACCAGCCAGCCAATCTGCGCCAGGCGGAAAAGATGAGGTCATGAGTTTTCTTGTCCCAGTCCTCCCACCATTCTCCTACATTTCCTTTCGGGGGCTTTGTGGCTTTCCGAGCAAACAAGAAGCTATTCCATAGTTAAAACATTACTTATGTATAGTCTGATTAACCAGCATTTCAGACCCACTCCCAGCACTCAGTCTTGAGGGAGAGGATTTTAGTAAGCAGGGGACTCATTAGCATTTATCGGAAGGACAAAATTAAATGGCTTCTTTTTTCTTCCTTTTTAAAAAGAAACTAGGAATAGTTCCTATTGCACTAGGAATGGTACAATATAACCAACACCTGCAAAGTATAAATCTCAGGCAGCTTGTATTTCATCTACACAAAAATAAGATATAATCTCAGAGACTTTATCTTTTGGCAGTTGGGTGAAGGGAAAAGAAACATTTTTTTCACAATAATCTCCTTTCTCTTTTATTTGGTAAGTAGCAACTTTTGCAATGTGTCTGGCCTCTTAAAAGTTACTCGGAAGTCTGTCTGAACCCAACTCTGAAGCCCACAACTCTCATTCACACTGGCTGAGTTTGTACATTATGCTAAGCCATAAATCATGGTTTGTAAGCCACAACAGCCAAGCCAAAGCCAAACAATGTTGTCATTTAACCCAGAACCTTGTCATTCTGTTTGTTTTCATTCCTTCTCAGTATCAACCCCCTAACAGCAGAGTGCAGCCTAGAAAGAAAGATTCAAATAAATAATAATAAACAATAAGCAATGTAAAAGATTAAGATACATAATTTTGGAAACTGAATAAGCCCAAATTCCAGCACTCATTTATTAGCAAATTCATTAAGGCAGGTCTCAAAGAACCATTTGAACCTCTTTTTCCCAAAATGCCAGATTGAAGGGTTTACTTCTTTTTTTTTCCAGATAAGACAAACCTTGAACTTTCATTTCCTCGTCATTAATAATCTTTTCAGATATTCTCTTTTCTTTCTCAGCCCCAGAATCAGCTCCAGAGATCTTTCTTAAGTCAGCCGACATCCTACGCTACTAAGAGGAAATTGATCAGCCCTCGAGAGCTGTACTTGGAAACAGCAGGATAGCGTGATTCATCTCTGATAGACTGCGCTCATACAACATGCTTAACCTGATTACTGAATTAACCCATTTTCTAAGTTTGCACAATACATTAAATCATAAACTAACTGAAAATACTGCATTCATTGAACTAATTAAGTAATGAAAGACGTAGAAAACAAAGTTAATATTGATCAAGCTATACTCCCAAAGTGCCTAACCAGGTTAAGTTTATTGTGAGTATCCAGTCCCAATGTGGTGTAATAGTTACAATCACAGGTATCTGAGAAAGGGCAGTGCCATCCCAAAATGTCCATGGAGAAAGGGGGTAGATGATAAAATATGCATTATGACATCATAATGCAAACACTCTGATTTTCATATATGTAACGGACTGTGGGGCACAACTATAAAAGAGCATAATTGTCACAGCACCATTATTTTTTGTCATTGTGGCTAGTGGTGGAACCTATGTTATAGTGTGACTTCAGACATGTCATGATGCTGTCCTGCAAATGATGCAAATTACATAATTCATTTATGCACAGTGATATCAAGATGTGCTGATATCATCATGGCTTGTACTGGATGACTATGATTACAGTTTTGGAATAGAACTGGAGAGAAACTTAGGTTCAAGTCTGCACAATTATATCGATCGCTATCTCTTAGCCTGACTTTCCTTGTGGATTCTCATGAGAATAAAATAGAGAGCTGGAGAATAATTCACATGGAAGGAAATAAGCAACATCTTTTGATCTAAGAAAACAGCAGTTCTCCTGAAGATGATTTGCAAACTGTGGAGGTCTTTGATGGGTTACTTAATAAGCTTTTTTTGGAATGGGTGTGTGTTGGGGTGTGCTTGTATATGTATGTATGTACTGTATGTATGTATGTACTGTATGTGGTACTACATGTGCAAAGTACTAGACCCTGTAGATATCTCTGATTTTTTAAAAAAAGAAAACAGAAAATAATGTATTACATCAGTATTACATTATGAAATTTTTCCATGCTAGATTCTTGGATATTACAGACCTAGTCTATTAGTCTGGCACAGCTCTTCTATCTGCACCTTTCTGATCAGAGCAAGAGGAGGTGAAGGACAATGAAAAAGCTCTTTAAGCAGTTCCACCCAATTACAAAATGGCTTTCTCAGGGAGACTTGTCTAGGAACAATGTCACCGTCATTTACGCACTGGGAGAAAATCTTTTTCTATGCCCAAGCATTTTAAGCAGTTTTGCTTTTAAACTATGCCATTTGTACATTATTCTTTTGGTTTTATTGTAACTGCATTTACTACATTTCAACATTGTCCCTTATCTTATGGTTATTCCTTTCGTTCTTTTTTTTAAAGTTTTCATCAATGAAACAAGCAAAGACATGGCTGGAATCAAAAGTGTTTACTCTCTCTCTATGAATAGTAAAACTTGACCCAACCACTACTGCTGCCCGGAAGGGAAAGTGTCTTGCCCCATTAAGCTGATGGTTAGAGCACTTTCTGGATGAGACAGACGCAGGCTTGGATTAACTGCATAGAAACTAATGGTAGAAAGGAAGGTGGAAATTCCCCTTTTTGTCTTGGGGGTGGGGGACTCATTTTGAAGCAGGACAGCCCAAAGGCTAATTGCATTCTTCTGGCATGAGAGAGAGCAAATCCTGTAAGGGCCTCTCCCCTTGCTTGGTAAGAAAAAATAATAATAAATCAAACCGTAATTTGTTTGCTGTTCTTTAATGATCCATCAGGTCGGCTGTCTGAGACAGTTGTCTCATGAGGCCTGATGGAGGCCTTGCCCTGGGTACACTTGGGGCAGACACAGCCAGAAGATACACTGCCTTTCCTTGAGGTTGTGGCCCACATTCTTCAGGTAGCTGTACCTGGTGAACTGAGGCAGAGAGAGAGAGAGACCTTTTTCGTTTGTGAGGTTCTTGTCATTGGAAAGTTGACAGACTTTTTTCATTTTTCAGCAGACCGTAAAATATTGTCTGCTTTTATGATCTGGACAGTTTTACACCTTCCTTTTTACTGCTTATAATCAGATTTTATTGTGGCTGCTCTAAAGTTTATATTTAATATATTTTATTCCTTATTTCAGAATAAAAATCTTCCCATAGCTGTGGGTACGGCAGAATAATAATTGTAAAAAATCAATAAAAGTGCCATACCTTATAAAATACTAAACAATAACACCTAAGTGTGAAACATAAAAGAACTAGCCTAAAGTGAATCAACAAAAATGGTTATTGAATGAGGTTGATTATGATGGCTAGGATAACCACCTAAAGATCAGTTGAAAATAGCTTGATGAAGCCCCCCAAAAACCAGCTTCCAATTTGTAAACCTTCAAGCCTATTTAATATTTAGCTACTTTGAGAGTAGAGTACTAGGCAAGATATCATGTACACAAACAAGCACACAGCTGTTTGACATATTTATGACATCCTGGGTTCATCCAGTGGGATATTGTAGTATTGGAAATGGTTTAGGACCAGGGAAAGTGAGGCTCAATCTGTATCAGTTATGGAACCTCACAAGAGACTTGGGGCTAGTCAGTACCTCTCAGCTGGGTTGTTGTTATGGGAGTAACTGGAGAAGGGAGAGTTATGTACGCTGACTTGTCTTCCTGGAAGAAAAGCAGGCTAGAAATCTAGAGTGAAGGAGAGACCCAAATGCATACATCTTTGTGGGATAGGTATATATAGAGGAGTGGAAGGATAGTGCCTGACAGTCTGACCTTGATCAGCTGCCCTCACCCATCCACCACATGAAATAGTAGGGCTGGCCCAGTTTGTATCCATCATGGTAAGACCACATCTACACCTTTCAATACTCAAAATCTCTTTCAGATCATGAAGATCTTTGGGAATATTTTTCATATCATGAAATGTTGGGGGAAAAAAGGTTGAGCAAGAAGAGTTAAAGCCTCAGTTGCAGGACATCCATTAATCAAACAACAAGTAACTTCCACTTAACATTTGAAAGAGCCCAACATTTCTACCGGAGCCATTCTTGACTGTAATTAGAATTCTACTTTGTAGCTGCAAAGCAACTCACTAGCCACCAGAGGGCTCTTGTGGACACCCCTATGGACCATACCATCTCTCCAATTGCTGACATTACTTGCGGGCAGAAAAGAAGATGTGTGGTGGGGAAAGTCAATTTGAGAGTCTGTGTTTGTAGTTTGGGTTATAGCAACAAATATCTTTTAAAATGGGGTGGAAAAGATATCAATGCATTCTCTCAGAGTTTCTAGGAAAGCAGTGAAAACAAAGTCTAGTAGGAAAGGAAAATTAAAATCTGGGTTGAAAATGTCAGTTGGCATCCACCATGTAAATACAGTACCTGTGGTTACAGCTTTCCACAGCAAAACAGACTCAAGAATAAATAGCAGCTTACATAAAAAACAAACAAACCAGGAAAATAAAAACCCATCAAAATTATTGCTAGGAATCTATTTTGCTGGCAGGAAAGCAGAATTTAAAATAATGGATAACATAAATGTCTCATCTCATATACCATCTGATAAAATCCTGGAATAAATGCTGATCAATTAAATTGCATGCTTGTATTTCCATCAGGAGGATAAATTGGGCTATTGTCAATTGGAAGGAAAGAATGCAATGACTTCAAGGTACCAAAAAATATCTGCAGATATTATTCAGCATTATAACTGCTGAGGTGCCCATGAAAGAAATCAGTACCATCAAGTATAGCCAACCTGGTGGCATATGGATTTTTTTGGACCACAATTCTCTAGAATATCTAACAATCCAACTGTCAAGTAAAATGGGAAGAGTCTGTGGGTGTTGTGGCTCAAACAGTTTGGAAGAACCTAGGTTTCTTTTCCCTGGTGCCAGTCTGTTACATACCTAAGCCAG